CTCTGTGTCCAAAAAAGAAAACAAGCAAGGGGCCGGAAGAGAGTTCCTCAAGTGAGAAGTGCGATAGAAGAAAACTATTAGCATAGAACTTACGGTTACTTCTAGGCATTTCAACTGTAAAAGAATGCGACCTTGCCCCTAAAATTCATAAAGTCTAGGTACCATAGAGGAAAGTTCATCAGAACAATTACCAAAGAAAGTATTTAGAGAGAAGGCACAGTGAAGCTGCGCTATGGCAGTGGGAAAGTGACTGAAGTCAAGATGCCAGATCAGGACCATTAACATTGCATATTGTTCTTTGGATTTTATCAAGAATATCTAAATATTTAGCAGGATCAAACCAGATGTGGCAGCAATATTCAAAGCAATGACGAATAGTTGATTTATAAGATAGACTCTAGCGAGAAACATTGTCCAGAATGATAGATTGAATCAACTTTCCTAGCAGCAAACCGTGACTCAGTTAGCAACAGATTTTAGGAAATTTTTGAGATCAGTTGCTAATTTGACCGATCATACTTACTATTAAGTCAGGAGTAAATAATTGTATCATCAGCATAGATACCGATTTGATAACTAATGGCATCGGGAAGATCGTTGATAAAAATTAGGAACAATGTGGGTCCAAGGATAGTGCCCTGGAAAACACTTGCATTATTGCAAAAAGAGCTAGAAAGTGGCTATTCAGGACAATTTTCATTTTTCAGATTTGATGAGAAAAACTGAATTAGTTCCAAAATTTGTCCACAAATGCCATAACCTTTCAACTTGAGAAGAAGACCAGAATACCAAACCCTGTCAATTACCTTCGAGATATCTAAAGCAACAGCTCTAGTTTCGCCATTCTTATCTAAAGCGTGATCGACTCTTTCAGCAATAATCGTTAATACATCAGCAGTTGACCTAGAGAAGCAAAAGTCATATTGTGTATCTGAAAGAAGACCTAGCAAATTGAGATTTTTTAACCAATTCAGAGATGATAAAACCTTTTGTACTTTTCCAAACAGAAGTAGGAGGCTAATAGGCCAATAAAAAGATAAGACGGTTCACCTGAGTTCTTAATGGCTGGAACGACAGAAAAGGATCCCCGACAATCCGGAAAGCAAGGAAGCTGCAAGGAATTTATTGTAGAGTTTAAAGAGAACAGAAGCCAGTTCAAGAGCACATAACTTAAGGAGTATTGCAGGGATATCATCAAGTTCAAATGCTTATATATAAATATTTATTAAAGAACGGATCTTGTCGGTTGAACTGAATAAATCTTTTTTAGATAGATAGATAGATAGATAGATAGATAGATAGATAGATAAAAATATAAAACTTAAATAAGTTAAATTGATTCATCTCTTTGTCGCCTAGTTTCACAAGCCACTCTTTTCAACAGGAATGGTCAAAGGAACTTCAGTGAATAACAGAAAAGTTTTTTTATTATCATTGCTACGTAACCCCTTCACAAAAGAGCAAATATTGTCTAACATTTTATACAGTTGCTCTAGAGGATAGAACCTATAAAATAGTTTACCAGTAAAAGCCATATTGGGAGATCCGCAAAGAGAGGTAAGCCATTGCCGCGTGGAGAAAGTTGTCCTGTGAGGATAAAATAATAGACAGAAATCCTAAAGAAGAAAAAAGTATGCGTAAATAAAGAGATAAACAAAAGAAACAGAGAAATGTAAAGATTAACCAAATGTAGATTTTAGCACCACACAGATACTACAAACTCTCTGAAGTTATTAAGTAAATCATATAAACTTTAATAATGTCAAATTTCAAACAATTAATTTTAGGTAGTATCAATATGTTATATTGAAGTCATTGAAATTATTTGATCTATTCTAAAATACTGCCGTCTGACGTTATTAGGTAAAACCAAATAATCACATTTTACTTCAATAAAAAGGTAATAAAATCAATAATATTGATCAACACCTATAATAGAACAAATAACAAATTTGAATCCTTTACATTTTAATATAGTAACCTTTCTTCTCAATAAAAGCCAGTAATCTATTCCCCATTAATTTTGCTAATATTTTATTTCAGTAGGTTCAATTTCCGACATGTTAGTTTTAATTGCTCCCCATAGGTCTCCTTTGCTGTTATATTGTTTGCCACTTTCATATAATTTCATCTTCACAATTGACCATAGATTTTCGATCGGATTCAGATCAGGACTTGATGGTGGCCATTGCATTATCTTCTCTCCCGTAAATCATTTATCCTTAAAGACTTCACGGGTAGTCTTAGATACATGAGACGGCCCATTGTTGTGCATAAATACACACTTCACTTTGAAACTACGACAATGGGACTTGTACTATGCAAAGAAAGTCTTGTTAATTAAATCACAATAGTTATCATTGTTCAGTTTAACTCGTTCGCCGAATTTGAATGGTCCAATAATGGCTTGGTCAACAATTCCAATCCATATCATATGATTACCGCCTCCTTGTTGTCTTCTTTTAGCCACAGTCACGTCTGAATTAGAAAAATCCACTCTTTGGCCCCTCAGTCGTGTCCATCAAATGAGTTTCCACCGTGAAAATTAGTTTAGAAAAGTCAATTTTCATGTATTTATTGGGCCAATTTTGACACTTTAAAATATTTCCTTTAGTAAGAGATTGTCTTGGAGATTTTTTACAGATTCCAATTCACAAAGAATTCTACACCTTTTTCCTTCTTGACTCCCTCAATTCCAGTCTTTTCAAAGATCTGAGCATTTGTTGTATCACTCGCTTTAGCGTAAGTTCATCTCGAGGAAGCAAGTTCTTAAAGCCTTAACAGTCCTCTTTATCATTCGATGATCTGTGCAAAACTCCTTTGATATCTCAAATATGGACATTTCCTCACTCAATAACATTGTTATTTTCTGTTTTTCAACAGTTCTTAGATACTTCCTTTTACCCATGTTTCAACAGATATTATGGACAAAAAGAAAAAATAGTTTTTATTGCACTAATGCTAATATTAGTATAATCTGCATACTAACTTCAGTCAGTCCATTTTCATAAATCCCAAATATCTCAAAAATTAACCATTAAAAATGGCAGAAAATTTAGTTACATATTTTCCTAAGGGTGGAAATGAACGAGTTTAAATTTGACAAATATTCTTCTTGAACTATTGAAGATTATTTGATATGCATAATAACTCCAGACAGGCTGTAGTTAGTAACAATCAAAAACATAAACATTCACTGAAAATGTTAGAAAGATTTCCTTCCTGTATTCAGAAATGCTTCCCACAACAGAGGTTAGCAAAATATCAAAATTCTTTTCGAAGATCAAACGAAGCATTTCTAATGTTACCCGTCCTCGCAGTAACACCCAGTCCTGGGATTCTGTTAAATTGTTTTATTTTTCAAGTGAAGATTAAAACGTGAATGAAAAGAAAAATAATTTTAATCGATTCTAACTATACTAAATACAACATACACTTAAAGGCCGATAAATGGATTGACCAAAGCGTTATGTAAAAAGTCACAATGATTTCACCCTCTTCTATTTTATACCAAATATTTTCAGACTGAAACCTGAAAATATTTGGTATAAAATAGCAGAGAGTGAAATCATTAAGTGTATTTAAAAGTTTCCAGTAATTTTTATTTAGAATATTTAATTAATAATAACTATTACATACTTTTTGTAAATCGTCTTTCTTGACTTTGTCTGAACTTATATGCCACCTAGGTAAAACGATTCTGTTTTTGATGCAATTTGTCAATAACATTTAGACGATCGATGACATCTTTACATTTTTATAAGATAAGGAATTCATCGGAACAAGTGATAATCCACCAAGTCTGTTGAATATACCATGTAAGGAAAATTTTCCCAACCCAACTTGATCATGGCTTTTTGTTCGACATAACAACGTCTGGATGAGCGCTGACTTGCCTTTAAATTTTATCTGTCCTAAAAAAAGTATTTTTGTTTAATTGCCGCGATCAAACTTCCAAGGTGACAATTTTAACACTTTACCAGAAAAGTTTCAACAAATTTCATCAATTCGTAATAGAGAAATCCACAAAATCTAAAGGTATATCTTTTGTTGCCGAAAAGATTAGCTCTTGTAGTCGGTGCCTACCTGAACTCACCCATGATTTTCAACTTTGTGAATTATCGTAGTGAACCTGGTTTCATGATAATTTAAAAAAATGTTCCTGTCTAGCAAGAAGCAAAATGTTTATAGTGAACCGTTGTCCAATGTAACAATTCATGCAAGACCCATTTACAACTGTTGAGTGAACAATACTAAATTTTTTTCAGACATTTTTTCAACGTCGAATAAATAGTGTCACATCCAAAAGATTTTGCAAGTTACATTTCCAAAATGTTGTGATTTTATGTATTGCTTGATTTGTAATTAAAGAAAATTTAGCCTTCAAATTTTCAAACTATAACACGTACGGTTTCCAACCAAAACATCACCATCAACTTCACAAGCATCGTCTTCGTTTCTTCTGACTTCTTACCCAACTTGAAAAGTAGATTTGATTGATTCGTTCATTTTTTACAATTCATCAACCTTTCGCAGGTTATTTAAATTCATAAAATATTTTTAGATTGGGGGGATAATTTTTTTTTTTTTTTTTTAAGCATTCAACCCCAAGCAAGGCGGGAAGCCACTAGCACGCAAGGAGTTACAGAGAGTTGGAGCGAGAACAAAGAGGAATGAGAGAGGAAAGGATGAAGTGAAGGCTAGGGGATAGATCAGGGCATCTGGAGACGTCGATTGACGTTACATTTGAATAGTTGGAGATTATAGTTATCAGGAAAACAAGAAATGGGTAGGGAGTTCCACAGGCGAGAAGTGCGAGACATGAAGCTATTGGAGTAGAAGAAACGGCTACATTTAACAGTTTCGACAGTGTAATGATTTACTGATACAAGTGCTACTAATTAACAGATATATGTGGGGATATGGATCTCGATTTGGTACACAGCTCTCTGATTTCAAGTCCTGAGCCATTGTATATTACTCCACTCGCACAAACAATCTTACAACACGTAGTATTCCCAAGCGGTCACCCATCTAGCTACCGACTAGGCTCAACGTTGCTTAACATCGGTGATTGAATGAAGACCGGTATTTCAATGTGATAAGTCCGTAAGCCATATCAGTGACACATCCAATCTTATAGCAACTGGTATTCCCAAGCGGTCACCGATCTAGTTACTGACCAGATTCGACGTTGCTTAACTTCGGTGATCGTACGATGTTTCAATGTGATATGGCCGTAAGCCTTGAAAAGTTGAAACTGAAAGTATCAAAAATGAATACTGACTCAAAACTCCTTTTCAAAAATGAGGCCACTGGAGAATATTACACGCACTTATTACAAAGTTATCAAAGATTTTGCAAGTAAATGAATAGGGAAAATGAAAATTATGCAGCCTACTTGCTTCAAACTTTCTATTTACTGTCGTTGAGATCATATTTTCTTATTAATGAAGTAAACTCACTACTGTTTCAGCCTCTACACAAATCTCAGCTGAATAAGAGTAAGATGAGTGAGAGATATATTTTATGATACTAAACTTCCAATTGGAAAAAGCTCACCTGATCTGAAAATGAGTGTTTGCACTGTTTTTACCTGAGTTTGGTTAATCTTTTCCATACTTGGCAGAACAATCGCTACTCTTTTAACCACTGAGCTGGTTAGAAACAGTTAGAAAATACCGAAATAGAAAGTTGACATAATTAAGATCCCTGAAGAAACAAATAAATGTGGCCTATCTCAGAATGAAATCGGTGCGTCTTTCTTACCAAAATCCAAATGTCAGGATTTTAAATGATTCATTATCTTATGGAACGTAGACTGTCAAGTCCGGAGATTGGCGCAAGGTAGTCTTCCTTATTTCCTTATCGAGCTCAGCTTGATTTTCTTCCGAGCTAAGTTCCACATAAATATTGACTTCATTAGATAAATATAAACTGACGAATATACAGAGAAAGTGAGATACTTTCTGTAGACTATCTCATATTCCAACCTGCCTTTCTTTTTATCTTATTGCCCTTCTCTTCCTTTGCTATTCTTCCATCTTTTACATCTCTATTAACTTTCCTAACCTTCAACTTTAACTTCATTTATAAATGCCAATCTGTCAATCATCTTTAAGTGTCTCGTCCCTTACGGGGCGTGATCGGAGTATTTGATGATGTTTGCACCACACATCAGCGAAATCGTTTGACCTTCCCTTCCCCAAAAAAATGGTCATTAAATTCTCGCTTTCTCTTCGACTACCGTCTGTTATATTTCACCCCTTCTTCGCATCTGTAATAGTTGTTTATTGATTGGGCGATAGCAAACACGTGATCAGACCCCCACTACCACCATAATGTCCGAGTCTAAATTTTGGATGGGTGTCATAAAGACTGGCGGCAGTAATTCATACCATCTTTCGAATTTGAGGGAAATATATGAGGAAACGGCGGTTATTTTATACCTTGCAAAATTTCTTCCGTCAGATCACTGAAATATTTTTTCGATAACCAGTGTTCGAAAAATACCGAAAATAAACATCGAAATATCAATAAAAATCACCCATGACTCTTTATGCTAATCAAATACATTTTTTAACCATTTCACTCCAAGTAAATAAAGCCAGTAAGATACAAGAAGTTACAGAGTGTTAGAGAATATGAGAAAAGAATATTAACGAAAGAGAACAATGAATAACAGGAATTAAGAAGACAGAAGATAAAGATATTACCTTTAAATTGACTGGGAAGGAAGAAGCCGGAAAAGAGTTCCTCAAGTGAAAAGTGCGATAGAAGAAATTGTTAGCTTCGAACTTACCCTTACATCTAGCAAATTCAACTGTAAAATGATGAGACCTAGCCGCCAATCTAGTACTACGCTGGAATTCCTAAAGTCTAGGTACCATAGAGAAAGGTTCATCAGAACAATTATCATGAATGTATTTATAGAAAGGACACAGGTAAGCTACGTTGCGGCCGTGGGAAAGTCATTGCAGTCAAGATACCAGGTCAGGACCAATAACACTGTAGATTCTTCTTTGGATTGTATCAAAAATCTCTAAATGTATAACAGAGGCACCAGACCAGATATGAGAGCAATATTCAAAGCAAGGACGAGTGATAGATTTATAAATATGTAAGATAGAATCTGGCGAGAAAAATTGTCTAACACGACACAGAGAACCAGCTTTCCTAGCAGCAAATCTAACAATTGATTCAATCTAATCTTTCTAGCTCATGTCAGCGGGAGACTTTAGTCCGAAAAAGCGCAATGTGTTGCTCGCCTGGAGATTAGCATTACCCATGCTGATGGAAGGCAAAAAGTATTCTCTCTGACAATTAAAAGAGAGCAGTTTCGTTTTGGGGACTTGAAAATTAAGACGCCGTTCCTTATCCAAATTATCAACAGATTTTTGAGATCAGCTGCCAATATGACTTTATCGAACTGATCAGATTTACTATTAAGATAGGAGTAAATAGTTGTGTGTTCAGCATAGATACTGTGTTGAGAACTGAGGACATCAGGAAGGTTAGTGATGAACATTAAGAAAAACATTGGGTCAATGATAGGGCCCTAGAGAACATTTACGTTAATGCAAACAAATCTAGAAGAGTGGCTGTTCAAGAAAACTTTAATTTCCCGATTTGATCAGAAAAACTGAATCATTTAAAAAAATCCATCCACAAATACCGTGAAGCTGATCAGTATGCCAAAGCCTGTCAATTTCCTTAGAAATATGCAAAGCAACATCACGACTTTCATCTTTCTTATTTAAATCTTGATAGACTCTTTCAGTAATAATCGTTAATACATCAGCAACTGATCTAGTGAAGGACCAGTAATATTGGTTATCTGAAAGAAGACCCTACGAGGTGAGATGATTAACCAGTTCAGGGTTAATTAGAGCTCCTTTGCCAAAAAGATATAAAAGACTATAGGCTGATAGGTAGAAGGATCATATGGCTCGCCCTAGTTCTTAAAGACTGGGAATAGAGAAGAGCATTTCCGACAGGCAAGATCGCAAGAAGAAGCAAGACATTTATTATACAGGAGCCTGTTCAGGAGCACATTTCTTAAGGACTATTGCAGGGATACCATCAAGTCCACATGCTTTGTGAGGATCCAGTTTAGAAATGATAACAGAAAACATGGACGTAGGTATAAGTATATCACTCAATAGAGATTCAGTTCCAGGTGGAAAGTCAGGTAAAGTTACACCAGATGAGTCAACAGTAGAATTAGAAGTGAATTTATGAGCAAAACATTCTGCTTTATCAGCAGTAGATGTTAACATCTCAAATTGAGTCAAGAGAGGAGGAATAGAAAACTTACTCTTATTTAAAACACTATTACAGAGTTGCCAGTAGTCATGTGAACCAAACATTTTAGAGGCTATAGGGAGTCTCACTCTATCACCAAACAAGGACTTTGAGGACACGTTTACAATAGTTTGAAGAATTAGTTTCTTTATTATTCCATAAAATATTCCTAGTTATATTTTTATTTTCGTCCTTAAAACTTTCCTACTATTTTATTCGTTGATGGACTTTGTAAATTCTATTCTTCCTATTTGACCATTATGAATGTAATATAAACTTGAGAAAAGCTGCAATATTGTGATAAAAACGAAAAAGATTAAATTTCGCGTCAGAAATTTCTTAACCTCAAACTCTACATATCATTTCTTTGATCAATTGTTAGACTATTTTTTTATGACTTTCGTTTAATATAGTGGCTTTGTACGTGTCTTTTGCATTCAATACTCACTCAAATATGTCCATCTTTTATGTATTTATTCTTCTATGAATATTAACAGTAAATAAGCGAGAAAATTACCCCGGGTTTAAAAAAATGAAGACACTCTGTTTTTAAACCGACTCAATAACATTAACCATAACACTACCGAAAACCCAATCCCGTATTTAAATTTTTAATGACTATTTTAAGTTACTTCCATGAAATATCAAGAAAATATTCGATTATCACTCCTGAAGATATATCGTCTGTAAAAGTATGTCTTGCCCGTGAGGCTATTTTCGAATTATTCGACTGAAATAAAATATTTTTTAAAATAAATGTCTGTCTTTTTTAAACGTTCTAACAAAAGGCAAACTTGTCAGAAGGTTCAGACAAAGTGGAATGAGTTCACTTTACAAGTTATTACATAATTGACAGTTTGGTGAGTACGCCATAGCTAACTTTCTTTTCTTTTTCTCTCTCTCTCTCTCTCTCTCTCTCTCTCTCTTTCTCTCTCTCGCTTTCTTACCGTTGATATAGAACAGTTTTATTCAATACAATGTGTTAGTTGCATGCGACCCACTTGTTGCAGAGGTTGTGAAAACATGTCTCAGGGGGAGATAATTTGATAATTTCTTACATGTAAAATTACAAAGAGGAAGAATGTAGCACAGACAATATAGAACTCTCCTTCCGGAAATATTGCTAATTTGATAAATAAAACACGCTGAAGAAAAGAAGAAAAGACATGAAAGACAATGAAATATTCTAGTTGCCGGCAAGTCGACCGCACAAGAAAACAGAATGAAGAAAATGAATATTTCGAAAATATGAAAAAGAATAAAATGGATCAGTGGCAGATCGACATCGAATGGCATCAGGGTGTCGAATATTTTATAAACCCCTATATGTCAGGACGATTATATTTCGAACGTTTCATAAGATTTTCTTTTCATTTTTTCTTTCTTATTTCCATTGATAAATCCCTCTCTATCACATCGCTACCTCTAGATTTAATGTCCTAAACTGATTTTTTTTTATCTCAAGGTTGTTACTATATCTTCAACAAAAAAGTCTCAAGTGACTTGGATATAAATATGATGACAAACATGGGGACACGGGCACACTCAGGCTTAGACACGCCCACCAGATCACTTGAAAATGTACCAGCAGGGTACTAGTAATAATGATGCTAATAATGAAATACGTATAAATACACAATCTTGGCGTAATACAATCTTCTAATCATTTAAGCGCCGAACTGAGGTAAAATTATTAATAACCTATTTCGGCAGTGATTCTCATGTATTTCTTCGGTTTGGAAATATTCTACACGAGAAAAACTCTTACATGAAACAGCTTCTTAGTTTCCTCGCCAAACGTCGACATCGTCCCATAAAATTATTAAGAAACTTGTTATGAATTTCCATAAAAGAAACGCAATGGCGTCAATATTTTGACAGCAAAAGTTTGTGAATTATTCAACAGTGCCAACAATGTTGATTAGCATTTGTGTTGGCGGGGTGGGTAATTGTTTGTGGCCACATATCGAGATGTTCCCTAGCTTTTGGATAAGGGGAAGAATCAGAGATGTTCTAAAACGATGACAAAAAAGGAAATAGTAAGAAAGGAAAGAAAGAAAGAAAGAAAGAAAGAAAGAAAGAAAAAAGGTTTGAACCAAAAAGAAAAAAAAGTAAAAAGGATGACAAAAAAAATAAAAAAGTGTGAATAAAGGAGGAATAGAAAGAAAGAAAGAAAGAAAGAAAGAAAGAAAGAAAGAAAGAAAGAAAGAAAGAAAACGAAAAGATTTGAACAAGGAAAAGAAAAAAGTTGAATAAAGGAGTAAATAGAAAAAAAATAAAAAAGGGGGAATAAAGGGAGGAATAGAAAGAAAGAAAGAAAAAGAAAGAAAGAAAGAAATGAATGAAAGGTAAAAGCGGAAAATTCATTCTGCTATAGGCCCCAAATTATTCCAGAATGGGAATTCAAAAATCCTCGATTCAGATGTTAAGACTCACGTATCTTCGGTTGACAGATATTTAACCTTAATCTGGCAAAAGAAGTTTCCCTCCTCAAAGAATGCTTTCTGCTGCACCTACTAAAAGCGATCAAACAACCACGTATCTTATCTTTCTTACTGAAGGTGAATATGTTAGTCCTACTAACTTACAATCGTTGAGAAAATCCTTAACGAGGAGTTGTTAATGACATCCTATAATTAGCTAATTAACACCTAATACTAGGCAATCATTAAGATTAATTCACAACACTGAGAAAACAGAGTTTGTAGAAATCAATCAGAAAAGGATTTTATCTTTTACAATAGGCTCATCAACAAAGTATAAAAAATATTTTGCCAATAAATATGATTCAGGCAAAAAATAATTTTGATAACATTTTATAATCTTAACTTTCATCCATATTTTTTACGGAATATCCATAAAATTCTCATGTTATCACCTGAGAAAACTTCAAAATCTTCAGTGAAGCTTTTTTTTGCCTGGAGAAACTCAAACAAACAATAATTCTTGATGAAACATTTGAAAATTGAATTCCATGCTCTCCTTTCAAATTGAAGGGATGCATTTCTGAAACTAAAAAAGATATTTAATTTATATTTACAATTGTTCGGACTGTTGTCCTCATCCTTATTGTCATATTCACGACGTTTCGACGTTCCGACATTCTTCAGTTGATATACGTTGGAATTTCGGATCGAACTCTTTATTTCATCCCATTTAGTTTTTTTGTTCACTTTATTTTGGCCAGGTATTCAACTTACATCTCTTAGGGTCAAGACACTTTTTGGATTACTTAACCAACGCTTTTATCTTTGGGGACATCAGTGCGTAGGAACTTTAATTTTTTTTTACCAGAGTTCATATTACAATTTGTTGTTATTGTTGTTTTTCTTTAGCACTCTGTATTACTCGTCCCCATATTGTATTTATGTCTGCTTGGCCGGCTTAGGAAATTTTTGTGGCCTAGTATATGCGCTGATTCCTTAAGTTTTCGTATTTTCCAGTGATGTTCTCTGTCTATTATTTCAATCTCATCCCACAGAAGTCGGTGATCTCCATTTTCCCTGCATCTATGGTCAGCCATGCCTGATTTTTTTATTTCACCTCATGTTACGTATATCGACTGAAGAAAGTCGAAGCATACAACGGCCGAAACGTTGCGAATATGGCAATAAAGATGAGGACAACAATCCGAACGATGTAAATAGTGTAAATAGTTATAATACCTCATCTCAGAAAAATAGACAGATAAAGATATTTATTAAAGACTCTATGTAAGCCTTTAATTTGACAGAATTACACATCATAAAACAGAAAACACCCACTGAACTGTGAAATCTTTAAATCGACAAGATCTGTTTCTTTAAAAATATCACCATATTCTTGACAATAAAAAGCTGTTTATTTATATATTTCCTGCTCTCTGGGACAATCCTTTCGTCTAACATAGACTGCTACATAAAAAATGGCATTTTAATATCTTTAGCAATATTGTTTTTTTTGGTTGTTAAGTAATCAAATGACTGTTCCTCCAACAAATATCTGCATTTTAAGCAATCATGTTTGGGATGAAAGTTATATTTTTAACATCGACTTTTAATTGAAGGAGCAATTTAGTTTTGTTTAGTATGAAATTTTTCATTTTGAGTGTAATAAAATATGCACTGCCGAAAATTAGTCTTAATTTAGCAAACTCATTTTCAAGATAGTCTGTGGTAAATTCTTCAATCATAATGAAATTAATATGACAATAATAATCAACCAAGCCATTGCCTTTCCGCTCAATGTCTACTTCAGTTTCCTGTTTGAATTAATCTTTCCCTTTGCTTTCCTCATTTTTATTTTTATCATCTATATCTCATACCACTTTTTGATTATCTCCATAAATTGATTACACTTTGCGAGAAGGAAGCATTTAAGGATACACCTTTAAAAAAACATTCTTTGCTTACTCATCAATAAAAATTGATTTCTAGTTTTGCGTAGAGTTGATAGGCATTTATTGGATACCCCTAACAAAGTGTTGGGGCGCACCCACCTTCTGATTGATAATGGACTGATCCCTCTACGATATAAGTCAGTGCTAGAGAGAGTAGGTGTGTTGTGCGAGGATCAGGTTCAGCGACAGCAGTCGAGATCAGGTTACCAAAACATACCGTTGGACTGTAGACTTTTGCTATTTTTACTTACTAACCGGCGTTCCTTATTACTAATCACTCTGTTGTTAATTACCTCTTACAAATATACCAGTATTTATCCCTACAACTGTGTTTGTCTTTATTCGAATACACACACGCGGGGAACACTCCCAACAACTCAACACAAAGCCTTGTTTAAAAAGGTTCCTAGTATTTTTTTTTTAATTTGTATTAACTTAGGATTAACATACTCGCTCCTAGTCATTGATACAAACTAGGTGTTTAATTGGAACAGCCTTGAGATGAATACGATCAAAAGTATATCCTGATGTCTGCTTCAGGATTCAGGTATTTTTTAAACCTTCATGAAAAAAGATTTTCCATTATATTTAGCAACTCATGTGAGTCTAAAATAAATCCTACCCGACACCACACGAAAAATGTTTCAACTGGAATCAGGCCAATATGCCAATATTAAGAAAAACAGTGATATAAAGTGAAGTGCCAAAAAGTATGGAGACAATTAACTGAATGTTTTCGCCCTCATCCACTTGTAGAAATGAAACCATCCAAATGTGAATTAACAGGTAAAGATGTGGTGTAGCTGTGACATAACGGCGGCCATGAAATGTAGATAGAATTTAAGAATGTTTAAGCTAGGAATGATTTTGGGGGCCAGAGAGATGCAACCTTCTCTACGTTTTTCTCGGGTGACAATAGCAACGCCATACTGCAAATATGTGATGCATCACCTAGCAGCACGAGTCACGTTTCCACTTCTTTTGAGTAGATGTTCTAGTTCATCTATGGAGAGACACACACAAGACTATGGTTCCAGATTGTCAGGAGAGTATAAGGAATTTACTAGTGGCTCTGCTGTGGTATTATGTATGTTCTATTCAAATTAGTGACGGTGAAACTGGATTCTTTCTTGACAAGTAAGGTCATGTTGCAATTTGAACCTCTTTGCAATCGCTGTTTTCTAAGAATACTTTGTTTCTGCACGATAACCACTCCATATTGTACGTGGGTAACACGAAACTAGATCCATGGCATTCAGTAGACTTCCAAATTATCCGCTGACCCCCACGACAGATATATTTAAATCCTATGGAGTATATAAGAGATATATTGTAAACTTCACTGCAGCCAAACCCAACCGACACAAATCAATTATAGACTGCCCTGGAACATACATGGATAAATGTACCCACAAAACGGCCTCGTAGACCCAATGCAAGTTACGGAGCCGCCATTATTCAGCCGAAGGGAGGAACTACACAATATTCTTTAGTTTTCTCTATGTTTTGGCAAGTTTTTAGACGAGGTACCCATCGTTTTCAAGATTTAAAGATCCTAAGTTTGAACATGATAGATCTTCTCTAAATAACCGATATTTCAATACATGCTTATTTATTACTTACATTTAACAGAAAATGACAGTGCGAATTTTCGGGGAAAATTCATATCGTTCTCGAACCAGATCAAATGCGTATGTTTTAATCAGACCAGAAATTATTCAATTCTAATTAACTTTTGCAGAAAATTAAATGTGGCTCATTCTTTACTTTAATAGCATCCCAAAATTCTGTCAAAGATTTTGAGCTATTATCATGCATTTAAAACTAAAATGAAAATGACCTCCATTTTTTTTTATTCAGCTGCTCAATAAGGACTTTAATTAAGAATGAATTTAAAACGTGGATAAAGTACTGAATGTTTTCCTTGGACTGAAGAGATTAAGAACAGGTATTAGACTTTGATGAGAAAATAGTTTCTAAATATCATTAAAAAGATTTTGTGTTATCCCGTAAGGCTAACAAAATGACAAAGAATCCTTTGAATGCAACCCATTATCTGAATGAAATATCTGGCCAGAGATCGTTACCAATTTAGAGGGGAATCGAATTTGTTTAAGAAAAAGACAACGACTTAAACTTGACAAAGAACAGATAGATAGATAGATAGATAGATAGATAGATAGATAGATAGATAGAGAGAGAAAGAGAGAATTGCCGAAACTTTATCTTGACTAAAGTATTGAATATCTATGGTATATTGGTTATGGGAAACAGATATATAATTTTTTATACAGCAGAATAATGTCACGGAAATCAATGTGGAAAAATTTTTCGTGTTGCCCGTTTCCTGGTTTAGGACCTCATCCGACTAAAGTAATATTTACGTTGATGGAGAGGGGACACTGAAATTTTAAACTTTTATATTCAATTAGCCAAACATATAATTTAAAAAAAAAAATTTTAAGTTTATAATTTTAGAGCCCCCATCTCCTTCGTGCGCAGGTGTTATCAGATCAACCTAAATTTCATTTTAGTCCGATAAAGTTCTAATTGTCGAAACGCGTCACGCGAAAAGGTTTTTCGATTTTGTCATTGATTTTCCTAATATGTTGATTATGTATGTATATATAAAATAGAACTTTTACCCAAATACCTCCTAACATGACACTACTGAGTGGAGCTCGTTATTAGGGGGTGTTAGTTTGATCTTAGAACACATCATTCAGACAGATGTACGCTATGAGATCCTAGATTGTCCTGATTCAAAGAAGTGTGTCTTCCTAGTAGAATTAGTGGTTCCATGGGAGGAGAAACAGGGAGGAGGCGCACAAGCGAAAGAAAAACCGCTACGAATCGCTGCGATCCGACTGCGTGGAAAAGCGATGGACATGCCATGTGCTGCCGACTGAGGACGGTCAATCGTTTCTTTCCTTTTGAAGGAAAACATCAATAGGTGAAAACTACAGACCACAGCTCAACAGGCATCAAGTGGGAATTAGTTAAACTATGCTCGCAACACAAATGCCACTTCTGACGTGAAACAAATCTGGTAACATTCCATACTACGTCATTAATAACGGTCACTACGAGTGCGTTGTGTATTTTAACATAACACTGGAAATTTCAGTTGCGGTTGTAAAAACCGGTGGCAAAAGCTGCTAGTGGCGCCAGGGTGGCAGTACGTCCTTAACCACCGGAACAGTGTTACCTCCCCTGGCGGGTGACGAGGGCATGGTGTCGCAGGTGCTTTCACGGGTTTTATGCATATTTAACATAGAACTTTCTTCGTCATATGACGTTATTTTAATTTATATACTTTTGCCAATGTAAGTAAAACGATTTTAGCCATATGTTTTAAATATGAAAAGTTTGCTGTAATGGAGAAGCACTTAAAAATGTACTTTCATCATATATAAAGAAAAAGTAGGTAATGTTTTTAAATCTTTTTCGTTGAGTTCGATACAGAGCAACATTCGGTTCTCGAACGTCTCACGGTTTTCGAACAGAATATTCGAGATATGTCTTGTTGTATACATTCATGTGTTGTGCTGTGCTTTTCTTTTTCAATTTTATTGTACTGTGCTTTCTTTTTCTTCATTAGTTCTCAGTAATGGCCCCAAAGGAAGCTAGCAGTGATACTGGTAAAGGAAAAAGAAAAGTTAAGAGAAAAACAATTGCTGATGATATTGTCTCTTCATATTCACTTTCATATGGCAAAATCAACGATCTATATTATTTTTATAAATAAAGAGACGATCATGTCTTTCCTTCCCTTTTCCAAACAATAACATCTCTATCCTTTCCCTTCCACTTACGTCATCAACACTCCTACTTACAGGTACGGTAAAATTGAAGTGTTCGTCTATATTTTATCTGTTTCGTATTGTGTTTTTTTTGTTTTTGTTTTTTTTTTCTTAGATTTAATGATTTTCATTACTTTTGTGTATAAACTTGTGCACAATGTACTGTTGTTAAAGTTTAAATAAGCAATCATCTTGTGACCAGGAACGGATTAATATATTTTACCTTGATTCCTATTGGAAAAATAGTTTCGGTTTACAAACATTTCGGGTTAGGAACGAATTAAATTCGTGAACCGAGGTTCCACTGAATTTCTATAAAGTTTGCTTTATTTTCCTATATTTTAAATTACTTCTGTCAGTAGAACTTATCGTGAGTTCAATCTCTGGCTTAGGTGGTGCCGTACAAAGCAGAACGAAATTAATCTGCCTCTCTCTCTCTCTCCCTTTCTCTCTCTCTCTCTCTCTCTCTCTTCCCATTCACCATTCACTTTCTCGAATTATATCTTTTTCTCTTCCAATTTGTGCAATTTTTTCTGTCACTCTCTCTCCTTTTCTCTCTCTCTCTCTCTCTCTCTCTATATATATATATATATATATATATATATATATATCGTCGTCGGCTCCCAGTCGTGTCCGAGTATCGGGTTCTGTCAATCTTTTAAATCCTATCTTCACGGTTGATGTTTATGTTTGACATGACTTGCGAGGCCCAGTCGGTGGTGGAATAATCGCGGACAGTACACACAGGGGAGGGGAGGGTCGTTCACAGCGCTCTCTTCTCCTTCGTCGCCTTGCCTCTTCATTCTCCCTCCTCCTTTCCTCGAAGTCCGCGATGCCATCGCGTATTGATCTCCTCCACGTCATTCGGTCCCTGGCAGTTTCTTCCCACTTGGACGAGCTGATGTTGGTAAGTGTCAGGGTGCGCTTTAGTTGGTCCTTGTAGCGCATTTTGGGTGCTCCTCGTGGTCTGGTCCCAATGGCCAGCTCGCCATATAGGATTTTCTTGGGGAGCCTGGAAGGATCCATCCTGTGGACGTGTCCTGCCCAGCGGAGGTGGTGGTAGATGATAGTGGCCTCGACGCTGCTCACTGAGACTCTGTCCAGCACTTCTCTTCTCTCTCTCTCTCTCTCTCTCTATATATATATATATATATATATATATATATATATATGGATGGCAACTGGTCTAGGAGAAAGAACTTTAACTTCAAAAACCTGCAGAGGGTCGTTTGGGGACCTTTTGGCACGTAGTGCACCAGGTCTCTGTATTCGGCCCTTCAAAAAGTGCGGATGGTCCTGCACGAAACCTTCACCACTATAATCAAATCTCATGTGCTGTTGTCGGGCTGTCGGTTTCCTAGGAACTGATCTGCTTGACCCTCATACGTCGAATTCGACGGGAGAGTCGAGAGTAGTATATATATGTATATAAATTAATTAAATTTAAAAAAGAGAAAACTCTAAGTTTCCATGACTATAATTTATTTCCCGAGAAAATATATTTTTCCTGGTTCATCAGGTCACATCTCTAGTTGCAAAGGAATTTGGTTTACAAATTTACATGTTTTTATTTTATTTTTAATACAAATTTTTGAGGGATAGTTTTAGATTGATGTGTGTGTGTGTGTGTGTGTGTGTGTGTGTGTGTGTGTGCGGGTGCATGTGTGCGGGTGCATGTGTGTGCGTATCTGTGTGCGTATCTGTGGGTGCATGTAAGTTTCGTTAAATATGACGGACAACGAATATTTTGTCAGTTTTTATTTAATTTTTTAATAATAATAAATTCACAATCTCCCCATATAAAAAACCTACTAGCATAAATTCGTGCACTCTTAACTATAAGTGTGAATGTCCAAATTACTATAAAATACCAGTTATAAAAAAAACCTAATCAACCGTGCAAAAATTCATTCATCCTGAAAGCAGATTTTCTGTAGTGAACGAAAAATATAAAAATATAAATATAAAAAATCTTATTTATAATAATTTCCCTAATTATATTTTTAATAAAGAAATAAGATGATAATACTTCTGCAATTAAACCTAATCATATTATTAATCTTTCATATCGCAATCAAATACATTCTAATTAAAAACAGGACGAAAATATCCTAAAAAATTAATAAATACTAATATATCTACCACAGATCCTAGTAAAAAATAAAATTAATTATATACTATACTAAATTCAGTTTATCCAATTTAACCATTCGTAATGACTCCTCTTCACCAACTAACGTGTTCTAGAAAAACAAACATTATATATAAATTTTAATGTCCTTTGGGAGATTGTATCTCCAACAGAAAAAATAATTTATATGTTGGCCATACCACTAATACGTTGTCTCGAAGGCTGAGTTTTCATTTGAATGTTACAAGTAACATTTCTCAACATTTACAACAGCATGCCTGTCCACATTCGCAATCTAGGAAAATTCTTGTTGAAAATGCATCTATACTTTTTATGAAAATAATAAGCATCAACTAAAAAATTGAAACTAATATTCTAATAAATTAATAATAATTATGAGTACTGCACAAATGTTTTTAATTGTTTCCATTAGGTTGTTTAAAATATCTATGTTTTAACTAATGGTTTTAAATAGTTTTATCTTTATTTAAGATATTTAGACATTACAATAACTTAAACATTACAATAAATCCCTTGACGTTTTCATGAGTGCCTACGGGTTAAAATTAAAAATGGCACATAAACTTAGCGTTTTTCACTTCACACTAAAAAAATTTAATTTTCAAATGAACACAATAATTTTGCCTTAGAAAAATGAGGAACAGAACAATTTTTGTCTTAGAAGAAACAAGACCCTGATGACGACATTGTGCTAATGACAAAATTACTCAGAATTAAATGAATATGCATCAACATGATAATTTAATTATTTAATTATTATTGCGTAAAATATTAGAATTAATTTAAATTAATTTATTAATAATTTATCACATTAAAATTCATAAGTTCGAAAGGCGAAGAATTAAAAAATAAAAAATAGATGAAAAAAATGTTATTATTTAAATTTGAATATGGATTTAAAAGAAAACAATATATCAAATAGGGTAACCTTTTTTAACATTAGATATCATAATTGTACCGATTAGCTTAAACTCGAAATCAGGTCGGGATTATATATCTAATGTACTTATAAAGCTGAAATTATATATACACACACGTTATAAATTAATCGAAATTGTCATTGGTTTCTGGTTTTCTTAAATATATATATATATATTTTCAACACTATATATATATATATATATATATATATATATATATATATACGTTCAACATCATCACTTGATAAATCACCAGAAGTGTTGAAACAAAATGGCGATTCTATTTTTGTAGTGATTTTATAACATATTTATAATATAATTTTCGAATAAATAGTTATATATATATATATGTATGTGTGTGTGTGTGTGTGTGTTTGAGTGTGTGTGTGTGTTTGAGTGTGTGTGTGTTGTTAAATATGATAGACAAGTAATGACTATTATGTTTGATCATGAGCCATTCTAAGCTTCGTTTTGTGGCTTTAGTTTCGGGAGAAAATAAAGACAAAAACTGGTCAACATTTCGATATTTTTTATTATGTTGTTCCTCGATCTAAGGTTTTGGCTCATATGAGCCATCATGAAAGTGGTTATGTGCATATTACAACAGAGATGTTCACGATCAAAGATGTATCCTGTTATGTTTACATAGAAGTCAATATGCGACGATAAAGGTCGCGGAATAGCAGACGCATGTCATAAATTTGTAATGTGGTTCTATGATGTCGTACAAGACCACGTGAAAGAAAGAAATTTTATCAACAAAACCATGTGTTTAAATGCATTGTAATATGTTGTGACTTGTTTGAAATGTAATTTTGTTGAGTGTGAGTTGCTTTGTCCTGATGTTGATCGCCTCCAGTATCTGCAGCTTTTTTTACTGTATGTATATGTGAGTATTGTTGTGTTATCAACTAATATCTGTCTAATATTATGTACATGGCTATGTTTTTCTAAGAAAGTTGTTTATTCGAAGTAAGATCAGAAAGGCGACAGGTAAATCAGGAGAACGTGGTTGTAGTAAAATCAAATATGTGGCTGGTTTATTATTAGTATTAGAGTATAGTGGGTCAGCCAATTTGTATTGGTTATAAATAGAAATAAAAACTGACCCTCTATAAATTGGTGACCCCGAAGTTCAAATGAGCATTTTATAAAAGAAATACTTTAGTTGTCACGTTTTAAACGAAAACAATGGAAAATTCTACCAGCGAACATATTGAAGCGGCAATTTCCATCAGTCTACCAACGTGATTTTTCAACTCCTGCTAAAAACACACAAGACGATATATATGTACAAAAACAAACAATTTCTTATATACACACACCTTCAAAAAAAGAGCCAGATAGGGAAAACAACACTAGAACAACAATTACTACTATTCAAGGCGAACCTGAGAACTCTTCCCCCACTGGTCTATATTTGCTTGACCCTTTCTTTCTCTCGGCGACGTTTGACCTAATTTCGCCCAGCACACATGCTTAAGGCTGTACCAAACGGAAAACACAACGCCATTTTTTTTCTACCAACCAACACTATCCTCTTCTGGACTGAAACAGATAAAGTGTGAACCCAAACCACTAAAGGCGACCCACTGCCCTTTAATTCTCAACAACATTGGTGATTCCGACATGGAAGCGACACACAAGTTTCATTGGAATGATTCTACAACTCTCTCTGGACAACTCACTGTTCCATTACGATGCGACATCACTGAGGATTTGCATGCACGTAATTCGTCGCTATTAATCTTGCAAATTCCGTTCTCTTTCAACACATGCTACTGGTCATAGCATTTCGCATCTTCTTCCATTCTGAAACTCAAAAAGTGCGCACATTCACTCTTCCTACACCACGTGGCGACATCTTCATGCCACCGCTTGCTTCCCATGCTTCAACCTTTTCGGACGACTCACTGCTTCGAAAAACATTTTCAACGATTACACTCTGACGACAACACAAGCACATTTCGTGAATCACGCATCTCAACCACACTTCTGACACATTTTCTTTTCAGCTCACAAGAACAATATTCAAACTTTCACGAACCTTTTTCTTTATATATTAAAAGTTTTCATTTCCTTACAACTTTTAATCTGGTAGGGGGCATTGTCGGAGTTAACTCCTCCTTCACTCCGTTAACCCTTTCACCAGGGGTCTCTCTTCCCTGGCTATAAATAGCCGCTGACTCTTTGCCTCTATCTCTTTTTCCTCCAGGCCTGTGCACTGACACCTTGAGGTAAACTCTCTTATTCCTAGAGGATTTTCAGCTATCAACCTCGAAATGTAGGCGCTAACAAGGGATAGCGTGGAAACACGCTAAGCACAATATTCACACACGCACGCACATACAGAATATTCACACACGCACGCACATACAGAATATTCACACACACTTCGTCCTTTGCACTATATATTATGTATTTGTTGTGTTTATAAAAAATATTTATTGTTCAACAAATTCACATTTTCTTCTACTTGATTATTTCTCTTGTTGTCTTTGTTACATTTGATATTGTAAAAATTGTAGAGGGTCAGTTTTTATTTCTATTTATAACCAATACAAATTGCCTGACCCACTATAAGAGATACAATCTCTGAACGGGCATGTAAATTAATACACTACACTGTTTTTTGTTTTGTTTTTTTGTTTTTTGTTTTGTATAGGGTATAGTTGTGTGGTTGTAGGGCTATTGGGGACGATGAAGTCAATTGTTTTATATTTTTTATAATATATGATGAGCTTAACTTGTTTATTATTATTAATGGCTTTAACATTTTTACCTATTATGTTTTTGAGTGTTGTTTCATCATGTTAGTAATTATAGATTTGGTTACAATAGTATAAGTTAATAGTGTTATGTTTATTTTGACGTACAATATTATTAATAATATCAATTTTGTTAGAGGTATTATTAAGTTTATTGAGATACATTTTAATTTGTTGATCAGTAACGGAATTAGGAAATCCATTAGTAACAATTATTTGTTTAATGTTATGTAATTCTTTATAGAATATGGTTTTGGAAGAAGATATCATTTGTGTGCGTTGGATTAAGTTTTTTTATAACAGCTAAATTATATCGTTGGTGTTATTCACTATTGTAATTAAGAAGACACGAGTTAATGCTTGTGGATTTCCTATATAAAGAAGTAGTAAATTTATGTGTGCTGGAATCAATAAATACATCAAGGAATGGAATTTTATTATTAATATTAAGTTCTAATATGAATTTGAAGACAGGTGCCTTTCAAATTTTTTCTTTACCTGTGTAATTTGATCGATATTTTTACCTAAAATGAAAATGTCATTTATGCATCTTACATATATAGGGGCTTTATTAGTGTCATTAAGTATTTTATTTTCTGAATGTGACATATAATTAGAAAAAAGGGGACCTAAAGGAGATCCCATCGCTATATCGTTTATTTGAATATAAATATTACCTAGAGGGTCATGATAAGGTACTTGAGTGATACACTCTGTGTGTGTGTGTGTGTGTGTGTGTGTGTGTGTGTGTGTGTGTGTGTGTGTGAACTGTAATAAATATTTCATATTTATTATTTTCGCGCCAAGTTCCAAAACAAACTTTCTTTATCGATTTTAATAAAACCCAATTGAATATATATGTGTGTCTGTGTGTGTGTGTAGAGAGAGAGACAGACAGAGACAGAGAGAAGGAGGTTGTTCAAAAAAGAAAATTGACTTAAAAAATCTCTGAAACAGATGTTACAATCAGAAAATTCGATCTGCGCCTCTTCGTAATTATTTTCGCCTATTCGTAAATATTTACGCTTATTCCTAATGATTTACGCCTATTCGTAAATATTTACGCTTATTCCTAATGATTTACGCCTATTCGTAAATATTTACGCTTATTCCTAATGATTTACGCCTTTCGTAAATATTTACGCTTATTCGTAATGATTTACGCCTTTCGTAAATATTTACGCTTATTCGTAATGATTTACGCCTTTCGTAAATATTTACGCCTATTCGTAAATATTTTTTATTGGTTGATTTCGGAAATATCCATCACAAGACACATTTCATGTATTGCAATGTTCAGACGATAAATATGAATTCTCAATGTTCTTTGAGATATGATGTTTATTATACAACATACAACATTTGAAAAGAATTATTTTTTCTTATTTTGAATCTGATATAAAATAATGAAATTTTTTGTGGTTTCTTTAGTCTATTCATATAATAAATTTGTAGATTGTTTCAAGTGATTCCTTATATTCAGGAAAAGAATTATTTCCTCGATTTTGATACAAACGTTTTCACCAATATGCGCCAAAACCTCACATTATTTTATTGTTCCACTCTTTCTCTTTCTGCTATATAGACACACTCACACGCACAGAAAGAGAGAGAGAGAGAGAGAGAGTGAGAGGAAGAGAGAGAGGAAAGGAAGATGAAGATAGAGAGAAGGGGAGAGAGAAGGGGAGAGAGAGAGGGGTGAGAGTTTGCTCGAGCCTTTAACTTTCAGACGTATAATCTCTACCGTTGCCATCGGAATGTCACGTCTCTCCAATTTTACTGTTTAAATTTCTTCCGATTAGAAAGCGATCAATTCTGACTTTCCGCTCACCATTCGTGTATAACGTTACTTAATCATGGGCAAAGATATATAAATTTTTTCTCTTCTTTAAACATTGTTTTAAAAAAATTGTGCGACAAAATAATGTGGGTTGTTTTAAAATGTCTGTGTAATTTGACAATCTCCCCCAACCAGGCCAGGCTGCTCAAAGAATGACCTTCTCTTGAAACTTCCTGTCGTTCCTGTGTATACAAACTCCAGATCATTTGTCAGAAGCCGCTTTTCCTGCCCTCTGACGCTGTCTGTTTTGAAAGGCTCGTTTTACGGCGAATGATAACAACTGGCGCGTCCATCCCTTCATTCTGTTAACTTTCAAGAGATTCTTTCAACTTGGTTTCTCCTCTTTCCTCTCCTTCTCCTGAGTCCCTCAAGTAAACTCCTCACTCAATTTTTGATTCTTATCCAAGATAATCAGAGAAAGAATAACGGCGTGTTTCATACCACAAATGTTTATCATGTGCTTGAATCTTACAGTTCAGTGTTTGTCTAAAATAAAACTTCCATAGAGAACGAATTTCGCGTTTACTTTGATATTTTTAGGACCCCATCTCTCTGTCTATATATCTCAGTCTGGTTATATATATCTCTCGGTGGAAAATACATATAAAGTAGATGGATATTCTATTTCGCTTCTTTTGATCCAATTGATCCTCGACTCTTTTTGTTATGTTTTTATCGATTATCTTCTAAGTCGCTAAATGTCGAATTCCACAATAATAGTGATAAAAAAAATGATCGAGAAAAAATTATCGCTCTTATTTGCTCTTGATTTTTGCCTCACCTTTGAGAAAAGAAGTAATTCATCACATGGCTCAAAAAAAAAAAAAATAAAACGCAGAGATGTTTAATTCTAACTGGGTTGACGCACTGTTATTGGCAGGTTCGTAACAACTTATTATAACCTCGACAAGGACCACCAGGGACTGGTTGTGCTTCTCTGGGTATCATATCAGTATCACTGTATCGTATCAGTGTCTAGCATTCCCACACTCATCGCATCGGTCGAATCTCATCGACTTCCACAATACACACATACACACACACACACACACATATATATATATATATATATATATATATATATATATATATATATATATATATGAACCCTTTATTTCGCGCACTGGGGTAGACTGTTCTAGTTCCACGTGCCATGTTTAATGGATGTCAGTTATCAGTTATCTCCTGTTAATTTCCCTCTGAAAGTTCTCGACTGCCTTAACCGGGTATTGAACTCACACTCACTGGGTCCTGTCACTGGATCTAACTAATGCCTTTATCCACTGTGCCATGTGTCCTTGATGACCCAAACAGTGTGAGTTCAATACCCGGGTAAGGCAGTGGAGAACTTTCAGAGAGATCTTTTTTAGGAGATAACTGATAACTGACATCCATTAAAAATATGGCACGTGGAACTAGAACAGTGAGCGAAATAAAGGGTTCAGTTCGACATTCCAACCCCTGAAGAAGGCCGGAGCGCACAACGGCCGAAATGTTGTAATAGATATGGCGACAAAGATGAGGACAATAGTCCGAATAATGTAAATAATATATATATATATATATATATATATATATATATATATATATATATTATATATATATATATATTAATGAATCAAAACAAAAACATGTTAAAACCCACTACACAATTAAAATTATGTTTCAACACTATTTCCTCAGGCGATGGTAAATTACTGGCGAGTGAACGATTATTTTAATTTAATAAATTCATAAAGCAGAATATACTTTGTTCTCATTTTACCTGGATATATATATATATATATATATATATATATATATATATATATATATATATATATATATATATATATATATATATATATATATTCAAGTCGGCAGTGACAGAGTACGACTGCCAGTTTCAAGCGCTTTCACGTAATCTAGGCAAGTCCAAGATGGTAAACCAACCAAACTCGCCTATCTGGCCAAGATCAAAATAGCTGAACATCACCCGCACCCCTCCTAAAGAAATAACGAAGTAATTAAATAAAAAAAATCCACCAGGAAAGGCTTGCCGGTGTGGCAAAAATGTGTTCATTTCCATAAGGAATAATAAAACCAGGGTAGAGGAGCTTAGAAACTACAACTACCGACCACCTGATGATTGCATGAAAGCGTAGGAAACTAGCATTCGGGGTCGGTCACTGCCCATTTGGAATTTAACTTAGATATATTTGACTTGTATATAAGTATATTTGAGCTTTGCCATTTTCTATGGCATTGACCACTCTTTTTTCCAGTCTGCAATCTTAGGCAGGCTCTTTTGGGAGCTGCTTATACTTATATATATAATTATATATATATATATATATATATATATATATATATATATATATATATATATATATATAATAATACCAGTAAAATGTTTGTCACTTAGCTGATTAAACTTACCCTCAGCATTCTGACTGCATAGTTTCGTAGACGGATCCTCCAGGAATCATTCCGTCCACTCATCAGGGGATATTATCAATTAACTGTTTATACTTCTCGATTTTCTTTTTTCTCTATACACTTTTCATTAGCGCGTGTGTTCAGTGTTGATGTGCAAACTAACCTGTGTCCATCGAATCCGTTAGTAATGCCAGTGATCCGTGTTCGTGCGCAAGTGAAAAGCCGGGATTTTTAATGAAGATTTTCAAGAAAGGCAGAACATTCACGCTTAAAAGATGTTGTAACAGAATCTTCCTACCCTCCTTTTTAATCTTGTGGAAAACCTAAAAACACAGTTGAAGTAACTAGAAAAGTTAATTGTTTTACCAGACAAGATTAACAAACTTTAGAGCAGGCCACCATGGTAGGTATTTTCAAAGATTTCTTCAGTATAGAACTAGACCGCAGTTAGGGGATATCCAGTGTCGGGGTGGGGGGGTGGAGGGTTCAAAGGTCTGCCAGACTTGACTGTTAATCAATCCACTACGACAGGTGCTTCACATACGTATGTGTGTATGTAAAGGAAGAAAATGCTTCCAATAAACATTTAAGATTTGGTGTTACTCTATTAGCAACTAAAAATCACGTTTACACACACACACACACATATATATATATATATATATATATATATATATATATATATATATAATTATTAAGTATAGTTTTAAGGTATGCTTTATTTATGGGTGAAAGTGGGCAACACCCAGAGGTAACAGTCTGTTTCATGCTTTTTCGAAATCGTCAGGCCATATATATATATATATATATATATATATATATATATATATATATAAAGGAATATAGTCTTAAGGTGTGCTATATTTAAGGGATAAAATGCTCAATATCATAGATAGATCGTGTGTAAATATAAAGTGAACATTGAAGTCTCCGACGTCTCAACGAGAAAAAACCTACTTTTCGGGGAATATCAGTGTGTCACTGTGTCACACTTTTTCAACTTTACTCCGAAAGCTCGTAGCCCAAAATATCATACCATTTTGGAATCAGGCCGACTCCGTGGGCAAATTCCTGGCCAGATCCGGACCCGTAATCTGAAATTTTGGATTTCCAAGTTTTCATCTTTTCGGTTTTCCGTCGATTTTTACGTTAATTTTGCAACGATTTTTTTGAACGATAACAATTTTTATAACTTTGAAATAAATTTGGTAATAATCGAAATTAATTGCGAAATCCAGCGAAAGTCACACATGAAATAAAAATACATGTTTGTACGGAAATTACAGAAAATTGTTTTTAAATTAAGTAGCGACAAAAGAATTATCGTTGAACTTTTAAAAAGTAAGCTTAAATATTAATGCAATACTTAAATGCAGCGATCAATTTTGAGTTCTGTAGTTTATTGTTGCCTATCGCATTTAATCCTCCCTACCCTATTGTGATGAAAGCCCAAACGAAAGCCCTCCGCAGGAGCATGCTTAAATGCCACCCGACCAATAGGGCGGCTTTTAAGTTAGTATATATATATATATATATATGGTGGTTGTCAATTCGTGTCAGAGTACGGGCATTACTACATACCTATTTGGAGAAAATCTATTGATTTGGTGAAGGAATATGTCTCTTTAGCCCAGTAAGGGACCTCCATACTCTGGCACAAACAGGGCACCTAAGCGGTCCAACAGCGGGTGATACAATTATCATGCAATTTAAAATTTCGCATGAAACCGCTTCTGGACCCGCATGTCTTACCACAAATATCACATTTCAGTTATATATATATATATATATATATATATATGTGTGTGTGTGTGTATAGCATATATACATATATATAAACAAGTTTATATATATATGTATGTGTGTGTATATATATATATATATATATATATATATATATATATATATGTGTAAGCAAATATATGGATATAGATCCGACAGTATGAAGAAAAAATATACGGAAAAAACAAACAAAAATCCTCATATGTAATTATGCTGTTTTAATGTAAACAACTTTATATATATATATATATATATATATATATATATATATATATATTATAATTTTTAGCATATAGACAAAGAAAGATTGAGGTCGATCTGAAATATCAAATATAAATAAATACTTTCATAAAAAACATTATTATTTTTTTTAATTTGCAACTTTTTAGATGTTTATATATATATATATATATATATATATATATATATATATATATATATATTTCTTACTATAAACGTTCTTTAATGGGTACACGCTATTTTTTTTTAAACAGTAAAATGAATCTCAGCCGTTCTATATATCGAGAAATCCGCGTAAGAAAAAATGTGCTCAATTTGATTCCCTTCCTTCCAAAAATCCATGTTCCAAAAATTTCGCTTGAGGATGAGACAGAGCTTGATACTTTAATTCAAGATAATGTTTTATTGAAGCTTTTGGCTCTTGTTTTTGAAACATGAGAACTCTTATGTAGCGAAGGAATCATATTTTTAAA